TTATTGATTTATTTGTTCAAAATAGCAAAATTAAATAAGACTAAGAATTCGTTTTTTATTATACACAGAAGTTTTAAAAGTAAATATATTATAATTCTTTCAAATAGGTCAATGTAATCTGCTTCATAGCAAAGAATTTCAATTCTTCAAAGTATAAATTATTTATTAGTTCATTTTTTTACTTTTATTTATTTGTGTTTAAAAATCTATTAATGTTAATATTATATCTTTATTAATAAAATAATATTAAAATTCCAAAAACATATTAAATTTTGTATTATGTGAATATTTTCTATTCAGTTTATATTAATTAAAAGTCCTACTAAAATTTACATTAAAAAAAAATTAAATTTTAATTTTTGGATCAGTTATATATAACATAAATAAATCATGCTTTATTAATAAGATATGAAATGTCTTATTAAAAAAATGTCAAAATTACAGTTTTGTTTATAAGATTAAAACTAAAATTTTTCAATATTTTGTTGAAAGCAGCTGTCCTTGAACTATTTAAATTTCTTAACTCAGTTGTTTACATATGTAAATATTACAACAACAATGAAAAAAAAATATATAGTTAATAATTTTTAATTATAAAATTGTATATTTAAGCTAATATTTTATATATATATATAATTCATTCCAGAATCTTACTCATAATGCAAAACACTCGTTAAGCGAAACAATTTTTCCCATATAAATTAATGTAAAATTTGATAATACGTTCCATGCCGAAAAAATACTCAATTATTTTATATATAGCATTTATTCAAAGAAAATTATACAATATACATTGTTAAGGAATCATTTTCATCTTTTCCTCTAGTGCGGAATGAATTCAACCTGGAATGCAAATTTGATTTGCAGAAAAAAAAGAATCGAAATACAGTAATTTCTAATATTTAATTATAGCTCTTAAATAGCGCAAGAATTTGGCATATCTTTTGGTGTGTTTATTTCATAATGGGATATGTTTATATGTAATATAAACATAACGGGGTTGTTGATGTTTATATGTAATATGTCTGAACACAAGTTTGGAAAAATGTGTGATCACAAGCAACACTAATATGCTAGCAGAATGAGTGCTAAACATAGACAGATAGAGCATGCACACAATCCTCTCTTCATCACTCGTTATGCAAAACATCGCTTGTTAAGTGAGTCATTTTCTTTACAATTTGTTTTGCTCATTATACGAATTACTCATTATGAGAGGTGCTTGTTAAGTGAGGTTCCACTGTATAAAAGTATAATGCTATATTCAAGATATTTAGATGTGTTAAAAATTTAATAACTTCCTACATCAATAAGGATATTGATCAGTCAATAAGGCCTGATAATTAATCTGTTTAATTTGTATTATATATATTTATACGTATAATAATGTAACATTATTGTATAGTATTATACAAACATATAACATTACATATACAGTAGAGTCCTGCTAATTTGAACTAATTGGGTCCAAACCCTGTTCAGATTAGCAGATTTTTGGATTAGCCAAATAATTGAAATAATGCAGAAGCAAGCAGTAAAACAGGTCCAGTTTATATAGATCCAACACCATCAATGACTTTTGTTTCTGTTTTTGTGTGTAAGTACTGTATAGATCTGCTGTTTTAATAGGCCATGTCAAACACTAATTTATTAATTTTGTACAGTATTAATACAGTTTTACAATAAAATACAATTTTTTTTTGTTGTGGAATTCTAAATCTCTTTGTACAATTAATATGATTAATATAAATTCAACTGGAAAATACAAAAACATATATTTTGCGAGCTAAAAAATTTCCTCTCCACCGACTGAAACATGTTCAGATTAGCGGTGTTCAGACTAGCAGGACTCTACTGTATATATATAAAAAGTTATGTTATATATAATTTATATATAATGTTACATGTTTCATGCCAGGGTAAAAGTTGAAGTAAGCTGATAACTAGAGAGGGCCAAAGGCCTAAAGTTGTCCAAAGTTGTCAGCATGATAGTGACTTATATGATTTTCTCCCTTAAATTAGTTTGGAAGCAAAGATTGGACAGAGATCCAAATAGCATAATTTGCAATATAAGCTGCATTGCCAATTATGCTACCATGCTACATAATGCTATTTAGATTATTCTGGTTGATTTTCAGAATAATCTAAATCAGTGATTTCCAAACTTTTTTGAACCACGACCCTTGGTTTCATAAACTTATACTCAATTTCTTCAACTGTACCCCATTGTCCCTAACCCATTTTTTTTTTTTGTGAGAAAGACTTGGAAATATTCTTAGAAAAACTTTTTTTTATAAATCTCACTGTGTCTTACCATACATTGCTCTTTGCATCTGGAAACCATTAAATGCAATGTTTCTTCCAATGCATTTTAACGGAGGAAAGGAAAAGGTTGTCAGTGACTCTAACCCTTGCCTATGGTTATCATTGAGTACCCTGCCTCCAACTGCCCTGCTGTTTACTTCTTTTTGCCATCTAGATTTACTCATTGTCCACAGTTAGATGATAGCATCCACTTTGGAAACTTGAATGATTTAATTTAATTCAAAATTAATAGTTTTTAAATTTAATACAAGGTGGTGGCATAAACTTCTACCTCTAACCCAAAGTACATAGTATATATGAAATTAATTAAGTTCTAGCTTGATAGGTAATTCAGCTTTAATGTGTGATCAATATATTTTAGACTTGGTTTTCTATAGGTATTAAATAAATGTCTAATAAAGATATTTGATATATTAGAGTTAAATTATTTAATATATAAATAATAATTGTTCTGCGATTAGATTTATTTTTAATGATTTAATTTTAATAACAATTTAATACATTCTGCATCAAGTTAAAATTTTATCTATATTTGTATTTATTTATTTATTTAATTTATTTATTATCTTTAATATTTCAACTGAAACTTTATAAAACATTTTCTCAATATTAAGAAATAACTAAAACCCAATAGAAAATGAAATTACTATTATAATATTTTGAGACAATCATTTAACAATTTTAAAAATTGTACACAAAATTTTACAGGTTATGAGACTTTTTAAAGGTTGTAAACAAGATGATATGCCTCCTCATATATACTCAGTTGCTCAATCAGCATATAATTTTCTATTAAGTACAAGAAGGGACCAAGCTATTATATTATTAGGAAGAAGTGGAAGTGGAAAAACTACAAATCTGAGACATTTATTACAATATTTTGCAGTTACAAGTAACTCTAAAAATGCTATCACAGGTAAGTTGTTTATACTTTTTAAGATTATTATTTTCTATTTAAAGATTTAATGTCATTCTTTAATTACTAGATATTCAAAGTACAGAAAAAGTTTTAAGTTAAATATTTTTAAAAATACAAATAAGAACTGTATAAAACATCTTTGAAAGTATTCAAGATGTACTTTATTTAAAAAAAACATTTAATTAACTTTTAAGTATTACATTTAATAATTAACTAAACAATTACCAAATATGATTTTAGTTTTATTATTATCTGACTGTATTGCTAGACTTATTATATCAGTAATGGAATTATCACCTATTTAGAAAATTATTGTCTTTTATTGACTCATTTTTATATGGGAATGCATTTCAGACCATCTTGTCCCTGCTCATTAGCCCCTATACAAGTTACACATTGTCAAAAATCACACATTGTTTCAGACGTTGAATATACATAAATAAGAAATCAACTTACACTTTCTGACAATGATTATCTTATATATTTTAAAAAACGGCAAAATTATTTTTTGTATAAAATAATAAACATTAAAATTATTAAAGTTAAAATTACATTTCTCACTTAAAACCATTTCCTGTTTTAAAGCTCTTTTCACTGTCCCATCCTCTTTTTTTTCTATTCCTGATTGGATATCCATCCTCTGGTATTCAAAATAGAATACCATGAACTATATTTTTGTAAACCAGATATAAGCAATGATTTTATACATGAAGCAAATATATGAAAACAGATATGATTTTTTGTAAACAGCTACCAATTATAAGTTAAATTATGTTTATGTATTTTTCTTAAGTTTTTATATTTTTTGTAGATAATAATTGTTTAATTGTTAAAATTTTAAAGATTATTTTTTTACAATGCTTAGAATGCAAGAAATTCAACTAAATTAATAATTACAAAACTTTTAATTGGGTTACATAATAAGTTTGGATTTTGACATAAATTTTTATAAACATTATAGTTTTAACATGTTATATTCAATAACTGATTTGTGTAAATAAGCCAGACTCTAAAAGCAAGTAATTAAAATGTTATTTTTATACAAAATTAGTTAGTGATAAGATCACCTAGTATCACGTGATTCAATATAATTTTTGTTATAATTCTATACATATGAATGCATGTTATCTATTAATAAATGTATTTAGAAGTTATTGCAATGTTTTTTTTTCAGAGCAATTATTATATACATAATTAACAAAAACTAAAAAATTATGATATCTTTATAATTTCAAATTAATATTTATTTATTTTTTTTTAGTTGAAAAATTAAATGCTGTTTCAACAATTTTGGAAGCATTTGGAAATTGTCGAACTATTATGAATACTAATGCTACACGTTTTACAGAAGTGTTTTCCTTGGATTTTGATCATTCTGGTCAAATTGTATCTGCTTCTGTACAGGTAGACTTTATATTCACAGATAAGAATTTTTTTTTGCAAAATTACCAAAATCTAAGATTAAATGTTATGTTAAAATATTCCATTGCAAACTAATCTACTTATATAATCTGTAATACATTGTTAATGTTTTAGTAATTATTATTTTAATAATCTAACTAAATGTTTCATATAATTTTGTTAACTATAAAATGCAATAGATATTGCTATTTTTCTTTGTATAGTACAACTTTGTTTTTTCTATTTTATCACTTCACATTTTCATTAATTTCTAGAGGTCTTCCATAAAATCTGTTTTTAAATATTTTATTTATAGCTTTAAAGTTCAAATCTTTTTAGAATCATTGTTTTTATTTCTTTGAAGTCAGAATAATACAAAATATTTTATATAAAACAATAATTTGCTTAAGTTTTTAAACAGATTTAATATTTCATGTATTTATATAAAGTTTAATATAACTTTTAAAAAATATCATATTTGTTTTTTTCATTTTCTGTGGGATTTACATTGAATTTTAAAGAAAATGAAAAATGATCTATTTTTAAACTAATTGAATCCATTTGATGATTTTGTAAAAATAAATACTTCACTTTAGAAACAACCAATACTTACAGAAGTTAACTAATTATTCAATTAACATTTTTAGATCTGAGTTTTGTCTTCAGATTTTAATTCTGATAAAACATATGTTGGAGCAATTTAATATTTACCAGAAACAAAAAAAATATACTTTTCTATTACTGAAAATGTATTGGAACCATATCAGGCTCTTGGAATCCATTGAAATATTTAAAGCCAGTTTTAATTCCAATTTGATGAGATACAACTATCTAAAGCATGGAGAGCAAGGTACTAAGCATTATTATAGCCAGGATGGATTGGCACATGTCTCTTACTGGCCTTTTCAAATTTGAATGATAAATAACTATTCTGTTTGGTTCATTCCAATTAGAAACAAACTATTTCAACTTGAAGCTGGAATCAGGTGGATTTTGAAAATGTTTGTTTCATCCTCCACATTTTACTGAATGCTGAAGAGGTTCTGGGATTAGTTATATTTACCAGATTTAACAGCCTCTTCACTATATAAATCTTATCTAAATGATATTTCTCAGTGGTATAAAGTTAATTATAAATTTGTGCTCACAATATATAAAATTATTAATTATTATTTTTTTATACAGTGGGTGATTGGTTAACAAACATTCTTGTTCCATAAACCATGTATAGATGCTATTAAAATATAGTTTTACAAATCTTAAATGCAGCATTGCTTCTTGTATTTGTTCTGTTAGGTGTTCATTATCCAAACATGTGTTTGTTGTCTGAACATAAAAATCCTTTGAGTAAGTGTTCATTGTCTGATTAGTTCACAGTCCAAACTGTTCATTAGCCAATAACCCACTGTATTTATATAATCTTTATAATTTTTTTATTTTATAAAAAATCATCATTCTGTTACTATTCAAGCCTATGGATTGATCTATGGATTTGAAAAATAGAAAAATGACAGTTTTCATTAAAAAATAATAAAGCTTATATAAATTTAAAACAAATATTTATTAGTAATTTATATAGTATGAGCACAAATTTATAATTAACTTTATACCATTGAGAAATATCATTTAGATGAGATTTTATATAGTGAAGAAGTTGTTAAATATGGCAGATATTAAATTGTTGCAGTGTCTCATATTAGATTTAGAATCTGAAAATTGGATTTCAGAGCTCTGAGAATGTAAAATGAATAATTAAAATTGACTTCTTAAGTATTGTTGTTTTTAAAGTAAAATATTTATTTTTTAAATATAGATAGAATTATCTTGAACAAAATAAAAGAAATATAATATACACATAAAATATAGAGATTATGATTATAACATTTTATAATAATAACAATAAATTGTATTGTGAAAATTTATAAATATTTTCATTTGATCTGTCATAAATAGATATTTATGTTAGAACGTACTCGAGTATGCCGACGTCCAGAAGGAGAACCTAACTTCCATGTTTTTTATCATTTATTAGCAGGAATTGATGAAAATTTAAAGTAAGAATGTCATAAAATTTTTTTTTATTTATTTTCACTATTTTTATGACTCTTGAAAAGTACTTTTTATTCTTTAATTAAGAGGTTTTTGATTTAATTTTCAATTGAAAACTTTTAAAAAAAACTTTTATACGAATTTTCAATTTTGAATTAAAAAAGAACATGTTCAGAATACAATAAATTCAATAAAAATAATTACAAGAATAATTATGTAATATTCTGATGTATTATTTTACTATGTTATTCAAGAATGATAAAATCTTATACTTAAAATAATGTTTGTTATTTAAAGTTTTTTAAAAGCATTAATGCTATACAGAAAATTACTATATTCTATAATTTTTAAAATATAAATATGTATAAGAAAACACCCACTGATAAAATGTTTGAGAAATTTCTGAACCTTTGCAATTTTTAGAAAAATTTTAAAATAATATTATTATTAATGTGAATATATATTATATTTTTTAAACAGCAATTTATTAACAATAATTATTTTATTGATTATTGCTTCATAAAACTGATCAAAAAGTAAATAAATTTAATTCTGTTTTCATAAAAAAAGATGAATTTACATTTTTATGCTCAGCAAAAAATTCAGGTGTGTTGATATAATTAGTTACATTTGCTGAGAAAGAGGTGATAGAATTTACATTTTGTTTACTTTTTATTACAAACTTTTAATAATTGATTTTCTTAGTTTTTATTCCAAGTTTTCATAATTTTAAAGAATATTTTACATAACATTCTTTTGCTAGCATTGATTGATAAAACTCTATAAAACATTCAGTGAGAAGTGTAGTGATTAGACTATTCCATTATTATTTATAAGACTTCAGCATTTGTGTATTTTATGTACTCTTGATATAATAATGGAGGTTTTGGATTATTATTTTGCATCATTATAAATCCTGTATTATTGTATTTTTGATACTTTTTCATTTTTTCAATGCTGTTCTAATAGACAAAAATTATTCTAGCATAAAGGAGATATTCACAGGTTATTAAAAATTCATTATTTATTGTCTGTGCTATCATCTAGCTGTTTTTTAGCATGAACAGTACATTAATCAACTCTTTTTGTAGAGTTTTTTGAATTTAGTTTTTCATTTTTTTAATGTTTCACTGTTAAAAAGAATGCATATTAAAAAGGATAGAACAAGATAAGAATGATGAAATTAGAATTTTGATGACTGAGAAAAAGGATTATGTATGGCAAAATTTAAATGATTTACTTAAAGATAGATTTTATTGAATGATTGAATTTACAGATATTGATTGCTGAATGATGATACTCATTGTGAACTTGATGGAAAATTTAATAACACATGGTTCTTTTTTGTTGGAATTGAAAATCTTTTGTATATGAACTGTATTATTAGAAAGGAAAAATATGAATGGAGTCTGCAAGTGAATGTAGTATTCTTAGATTTACAAGTAATAGGCATGGTTGTATATTAATATAAATGTTCAAAAAAATTATCAAATCAAGTCAAAAATCTTACATGTAATCCATAAGTTTTAAAAATTGATGGTTAAAGAATTATCAAGAAAAATTGTAGTAAAAAATTTGGCTGGCAAGATGATGAATGATATTCATTTCTGAAATAGTTTACACTTGTGTTTTTATAGTTGATTTTTAGTATTTGAATATTTAGATTTGTATATATAATTTTCTGTATTAAGTATGCAACAGCAAAGAATTTAAATGACATTCTGTGTAAAACTATAGAAACAAAGCTCCAAAAACATGTGAAGCATTGAAGCAAGCAAAAGCAATAAGCAAAATGAAAATTTAAAAAATGGATTGAAAAGTACTGATGATGATGGTACTTTTCAATCCATTTTGATGATGATGGTACTGTACATATTCAAATCATTCTTTAATGAGAACAAACATTATTCTTATTTGTAATTTCAATTGATCAGAGGATGAACAGCAAGTTTTGGTTTGGATGTTCTTTTATTATGCTAGCTTCCAAAAAATTTGAAAATTTTAATATGTAATCCATTACAACAAAATATATATATTGTTTTTATTGTCTTTTGACAAGTAATCAGAAAAATACATAAATTTATTGTTTACTTGAATGAAGCATTATACTGAAAACAACTTTTAAACAAAAAAAATATTTTTGGATGGTGAGTTATAACTTTATAGTGTTACTAGAAATGAATAAACAATCATCACAATGGAACATTTTTATTTCTTTTTTGTAAAGAATACTTAATAAGTGAATTAAAATTAAAAAAAAGCTTAATTATTGTTTTCTTTGATTCTGAAAGACTAATTCATTGAGAATTTTTTGTTGAGCCAAATATATAGCAAATAAAATATTTTTGCTAGGTGTTTTAATAAAATTATTAGATGATATGAAGGGAAAAAACTTAAAAGTACTGATAACTGGATTTTTTCACTATAACAATGTATTTGTTCCAATACAAGCACATATTTTTTATATTTTTGTAAAAAGTAAGATAATATCTAGCTCATTTGTTACATTTATTTGTTTGAACACCATCAGATACTTTTATTCCCAAAATTGAAATAGAAAAGTTTTAAAGCTGTAGATGAAATTTTGCAAGAATCAGCTGAAATTGGACAATATTTTGAAAGAATAATTCTGATTTTACTGCATTCAAATAGAGGTATTTATTTTGAGGATGATAGTTAATAATAAAGATTACACTTATAAGTAGTTATTTTATTTCACAAGTTTATGAATTTTGGATTGATTTTATATATAAAACAAAATTGTTGGACTTTTTCAAAATATTGGATATTTCACTCATCAAATCTATTTTTGTTAAAGCTATTGGAGTTGAATTGATTAATTTTTTCATATTTTATTCATTACAGATTTTAATTATGTGAACAGATATTCAATATAATATATATATTCAATCAATCAATCAAATTAGCTTTATTTATAATAGGAATTAGCCTGTTACAAGAGGGTGATTATATTATTACAAAACATTTTGATTATTCAAATTGTATACAAACAAAATAAAAGACAGTCCTTTACAATTTTTGTAAGAACATTGATATAAACATAACCATAGATACATTTGTAAATAACATAGAAACCATTTACAAAGATGTCATATCTTATTGGATAGTTACAAAGTATTTTTGTGCGTAGTTATATAAATTATATATTGTAGTACATTTTGCTCTATGGAAAAACAGATACATGGAATTTTCTTCATTCACGAAGCCCAATACATCAAGATTATAACGTTTTTGTAATTTTTGTGCCTGGTAAATTTCTACATTCGCAAAACACCAGGACAAAATCAACACATACTGAACTAGTTACCAGTCAGAAATGTTTTTGTCTTTTCTCCAACACTGGTAACTGGTTCAGGTACATGTCAGATTTTTGTGCCTTTTTACAAGTACAAAACGTATGTATTTTAGAAAGGATCTCATCACAACTAAGACAATATACAGTAGTTTAGAAAATTGATATATATTATCATCAATAATTGTAATCTCTTTATTTAATCTTAATTGAATAAAAAATTTCTTAACATTGAAAGACAAATTCATATCCATATAACTATTAATACTTGGGTATTCTAAAATTAAATTATACCAATCTGGGCTATTATGGTTTCTCAAATCATAAATGTCTTGAGCTTAAGGATATTTCTAAGGTATTCTGAATTAATTGAGTATTATGTATTTCACATATATCGGATTTTATCATAAACAGATTTATTGAAAAACTGTACTTATTAATTATATTTGACAACTGGCCAACTCAATTTTTCTTGGACTTATCAACTGAAGATTTTTGGTATAACATTTCCAACAAAATAGCTGGAAGCTCCTCATTATCTCTTATCCGACTAAGAAATTTAATGTAATCTTTAATAAAATAAGGACCCATTTTGAATCTATTCAATTCAAGATAAAGAGCTGAACCAGGAACATTATACTCCAGAGAAAAATCTTTACGTATAAATTTATTTTGCATGATCTCTGAATTATTGAAATTAGATAGACTCCAGATCGGAGCAGCATAACCAAAGGCATTTAAAATTATAGAACTAAACAGTTTAAACTGGACTATAATACTTTGTAATTTCATTTTAGCAAATAATTTTACTGTATTATTGATCAATGTAGTAGTCTTTATCTTGACTTTATTAAAAGCTTTTCAAATGATAAGGACAGAGTTAGCACTACCCCCAAGAATTTAATATCTGAAACTATTAACAGTTTTTCTTTATTAAGATAGAAAGACATATATTTTTTTGACAGTCTAGTACCATTTTGGAATATCATAATGTAAGATTTTTTTGGGTTAATTTTCAATTTTAATTTCTCACAATATTCTTCTATAGCGTGTATTTTCTGTTGAAGTGCGACTGCGGTCGGTGCTAAAACTACTATGTCGTCAGCATATGATATTGAATGTATTGTTTGACCATTAAAAGTAAAACCATCATCTACATTAACAAAACTATCATACATGTAAAAGTTAAATAAATAAGGGGACCACAGGTCACCCTGTAATAACCCACGGCTTATTTCAAAAGCTGGCCATAAACTATTATTCTGTTTTATAACAACTTCATATTGGCCAAATAGCAAACCCACTGCTCTAATTAATTTATCATCATCTCCACATTTTGACATTTTACTTTGTAAGTTTGAAATCAAAACAGAGTCATATGCCTTTTCTATAACCAAATATCTGCAAATACTTTTTTTTTTTCGAAGTTGGAGTTGTATTAATGCTAACAATACAGAGTGCTATAAGAGTTCTTCCATCTCTATTAAAAGCATATTATTTCTATAATTGTTTGTTTCAGTCCATTCATTAAATTTTGTCATTAAAATAGATGTGTATAGCTTCTGAAATCCAGATAATAAAGCAATTGGTCTATAGTTAGCTGGTTGTGTTCTATCACCTTTTTTATAAATCATGTATAGAATAACTTTGTTCCATTCTTTAGGCAAAATGCCTGTATTATATAAATCATTA